GATGCTGGAACTTGGGGAGCAAGGAGGTGTCTGAAACACAGGGTGCAGATAAGGCTTGAAGGGCAGAAGGGTTCTGCTTCAGGGAAATGTGTTGCTCACTCTCTCCTCATTCATCCTCCTGGCTGTCTCTCCTCGCTCTATTCCCTGGCTGTCTCTCCTCTGGCTCATCCTCCTGGCTGTCTCTCCTCCCTCTCTCCCCTGGCTCATGCTCCTGGCTGTCTCTCCTCGCTCTATTCCCTGGCTGTCTCTCCTCGCTCTCTCCCCTGGCTCATCCTCCTGGCTGTCTCTCCTCGCTCTCTCCCCTAGCTCATCCTCCTGGCTGTCTCCCCTCGCTCTATTCCTTGGCTGTCTCTCCTCGCTCTCTTCCCGTGGCTCATCCTCCTGGCCTTCTCTTTTCACTCTCTCCCATGGCTCATCCTCTGACTGTCTGTCCTCGCTCTACTCCCTGGTTCATCCTCCTGGCTGTCTCTCCTCGCTCTCTCCCCTGGCTCATCCTCCTGGCTGTCTCTCGTTGCTCTATTCCCTAGCTTATCCTCCTGGCTGTCTCTTCTCATTCATTCTCCTGGCTGTCTTTTCTCGCTCCTTCCCTGGTTTATCTTCCTGGCTGTCTCTCCTTGCTCTCTCCCCTGGATCATCCTCCTGGCTCTTTCCTTGCTCATCCTCCTGGCTGTCTCTTCTCTCTCTCTCCCCTGGCTGTCTCCCTTTGCTCTCTCTCCCTCCTGGCTGTCTCTCCTGGCCTTTTCTCCTGGCTGCCTCTCCTCACATCCTCCTGGTCGTCACTCCTTGCTCTCTCCCCTGCCTGTCTCTCCTTATTCTCCCCTGGCTGTGTCTCCTCGCTCTCTTTCCTGGCTCTCTTCTCACTGTCTCTCCTTTCTCTATTTTAGTTGGCTGTCTCTCCTCTCTCTCTCTTGGCTGTCTCTCCTCATGCAGTCCCCCCTGGAAGAAAACGTGCCCAGTGGCCCCCGAGTGAGTTTGAGAGCCCAGCCCTAAAAAATAATATATGTACATCAGTGGCGTCACAAGGGGGGTGCGGCCCGCACCCGGGTGACACCATTGGAGGGGTGACACCAAAATGACGGACAGTCATTTTGGCGTCACCCCCCTCTGAAAAGTCGGGCGCTCAGTCATGGACCGAACGCCCGACAGTATCAGGAGAGAGGAGGGTCCCCTCCTCTCTGCTGGCGTCAATCACCAGAACACTGCAGCGCGTGCGCGATTATGTCATCGCGCATGCTCAGTGACGGTTACCGCTCCGGGTGTCACCCAGCCTCGGGACGCCCCTGATGTACATTTAAAAAAAAATTTATGAATACGTTTGGGTTTTTTTCTTAAGTGCACTTTTGCCTCTAAATGTGTCAGTGAGACTTCATTGTGGCACGGTAATTAAAGTATATATCTGTGGGTACCAAGACTGCCGCATAGGTGTGCTGTGTATACAGCGAGTAGGCTCAGGTTCCAGTCAACTCTGATCTCCTTTAAGCTACTTCCACTGTCAGCCACACCAGTTTACAAAAGCGTGCATAGCACACCACAACATTGGGGTACCCAGGGGTGTCTTTTACAATCCTAGCAAGGTCACTGGTCACCCCTTGACTGTGCAACCTAGTTGCACAGGGTGGAGGTAAAGCAAACTAAGAACATACATGTATGGGAAATTAAAGTGCATGCAAGGTAGTATTGGTGGGAGCAAGGGGTTAGTTGCAGGAAGCATGGGATAAGTTACAGGGGAAAGGAGGGAGCAGGGGGTTGGTTGGAGGGGGTAGGAGGGAGCAGAGGGGGGTTGGGTGCAGGGGACAGGAGGGAGCAGGGGGTGGGTTGCAGGGGAAAGGAGGGAGCAGGGGGTTGGTTGCAGGGGGCAGGAGGGAGCAGAGGGTGGGTCGCAGGGGACAGGAGGGAGCAGGGGGTTGATTGCAGGGCCCAGGAGGGAGCAGGGGGTTGGTTGCAGGGGGCAGGAGGGAGCAGAGGGTGGGTCGCAGGGGACAGGAGGGAGCAGGGGGTTGATTGCAGGGCCCAGGAGGGAGCAGGGGGTTGGTTGCAGGGGGCAGGAGGGAGCAGAGGGTGGGTCGCAGGGGACAGGAGGGAGCAGGGGGTTGATTGCAGGGCCCAGGAGGGAGCAGGGGGTTGGTTGCAGGGGGCAGGAGGGAGCAGAGGGTGGGTCGCAGGGGACAGGAGGGAGCAGGGGGTTGATTGCAGGGCCCAGGAGGGAGCAGGGGGTTGGTTGCAGGGGGCAGGAGGGAGCAGAGGGTGGGTCGCAGGGGACAGGAGGGAGCAGGGGGTTGATTGCAGGGCCCAGGAGGGAGCAGGGGGTTGGTTGCAGGGGGCAGGAGGGAGCAGAGGGTGGGTCGCAGGGGACAGGAGGGAGCAGGGGGTTGATTGCAGGGCCCAGGAGGGAGCAGGGGGTTGGTTGCAGGGGGCAGGAGGGAGCAGAGGGTGGGTCGCAGGGGACAGGAGGGAGCAGGGGGTTGATTGCAGGGCCCAGGAGGGAGCAGGGGGTTGGTTGCAGGGGGCAGGAGGGAGCAGAGGGTGGGTCGCAGGGGACAGGAGGGAGCAGGGGGTTGATTGCAGGGCCCAGGAGGGAGCAGGGGGTTGGTTGCAGGGGGCAGGAGGGAGCAGAGGGTGGGTCGCAGGGGACAGGAGGGAGCAGGGGGTTGATTGCAGGGCCCAGGAGGGAGCAGGGGGTTGGTTGCAGGGGGCAGGAGGGAGCAGAGGGTGGGTCGCAGGGGACAGGAGGGAGCAGGGGGTTGATTGCAGGGCCCAGGAGGGAGCAGGGGGTTGGTTGCAGGGGGCAGGAGGGAGCAGAGGGTGGGTCGCAGGGGACAGGAGGGAGCAGGGGGTTGATTGCAGGGCCCAGGAGGGAGCAGGGGGTTGGTTGCAGGGGGCAGGAGGGAGCAGAGGGTGGGTCGCAGGGGACAGGAGGGAGCAGGGGGTTGATTGCAGGGCCCAGGAGGGAGCAGGGGGTTGGTTGCAGGGGGCAGGAGGGAGCAGAGGGTGGGTCGCAGGGGACAGGAGGGAGCAGGGGGTTGATTGCAGGGCCCAGGAGGGAGCAGGGGGTTGGTTGCAGGGGGCAGGAGGGAGCAGAGGGTGGGTCGCAGGGGACAGGAGGGAGCAGGGGGTTGATTGCAGGGCCCAGGAGGGAGCAGGGGGTTGGTTGCAGGGGGCAGGAGGGAGCAGAGGGTGGGTCGCAGGGGACAGGAGGGAGCAGGGGGTTGATTGCAGGGCCCAGGAGGGAGCAGGGGGTTGGTTGCAGGGGGCAGGAGGGAGCAGAGGGTGGGTCGCAGGGGACAGGAGGGAGCAGGGGGTTGATTGCAGGGCCCAGGAGGGAGCAGGGGGTTGGTTGCAGGGGGCAGGAGGGAGCAGAGGGTGGGTCGCAGGGGACAGGAGGGAGCAGGGGGTTGATTGCAGGGCCCAGGAGGGAGCAGGGGGTTGGTTGCAGGGGGCAGGAGGGAGCAGAGGGTGGGTCGCAGGGGACAGGAGGGAGCAGGGGGTTGATTGCAGGGCCCAGGAGGGAGCAGGGGGTTGGTTGCAGGGGGCAGGAGGGAGCAGAGGGTGGGTCGCAGGGGACAGGAGGGAGCAGGGGGTTGATTGCAGGGCCCAGGAGGGAGCAGGGGGTTGGTTGCAGGGGGCAGGAGGGAGCAGAGGGTGGGTCGCAGGGGACAGGAGGGAGCAGGGGGTTGATTGCAGGGCCCAGGAGGGAGCAGGGGGTTGGTTGCAGGGGGCAGGAGGGAGCAGAGGGTGGGTCGCAGGGGACAGGAGGGAGCAGGGGGTTGATTGCAGGGCCCAGGAGGGAGCAGGGGGTTGGTTGCAGGGGGCAGGAGGGAGCAGAGGGTGGGTCGCAGGGGACAGGAGGGAGCAGGGGGTTGATTGCAGGGCCCAGGAGGGAGCAGGGGGTTGGTTGCAGGGGGCAGGAGGGAGCAGAGGGTGGGTCGCAGGGGACAGGAGGGAGCAGGGGGTTGATTGCAGGGCCCAGGAGGGAGCAGGGGGTTGGTTGCAGGGGGCAGGAGGGAGCAGAGGGTGGGTCGCAGGGGACAGGAGGGAGCAGGGGGTTGATTGCAGGGCCCAGGAGGGAGCAGGGGGTTGGTTGCAGGGGGCAGGAGGGAGCAGAGGGTGGGTCGCAGGGGACAGGAGGGAGCAGGGGGTTGATTGCAGGGCCCAGGAGGGAGCAGGGGGTTGGTTGCAGGGGGCAGGAGGGAGCAGAGGGTGGGTCGCAGGGGACAGGAGGGAGCAGGGGGTTGATTGCAGGGCCCAGGAGGGAGCAGGGGGTTGGTTGCAGGGGGCAGGAGGGAGCAGAGGGTGGGTCGCAGGGGACAGGAGGGAGCAGGGGGTTGATTGCAGGGCCCAGGAGGGAGCAGGGGGTTGGTTGCAGGGGGCAGGAGGGAGCAGAGGGTGGGTCGCAGGGGACAGGAGGGAGCAGGGGGTTGATTGCAGGGCCCAGGAGGGAGCAGGGGGTTGGTTGCAGGGGGCAGGAGGGAGCAGAGGGTGGGTCGCAGGGGACAGGAGGGAGCAGGGGGTTGATTGCAGGGCCCAGGAGGGAGCAGGGGGTTGGTTGCAGGGGGCAGGAGGGAGCAGAGGGTGGGTCGCAGGGGACAGGAGGGAGCAGGGGGTTGATTGCAGGGCCCAGGAGGGAGCAGGGGGTTGGTTGCAGGGGGCAGGAGGGAGCAGAGGGTGGGTCGCAGGGGACAGGAGGGAGCAGGGGGTTGATTGCAGGGCCCAGGAGGGAGCAGGGGGTTGGTTGCAGGGGGCAGGAGGGAGCAGAGGGTGGGTCGCAGGGGACAGGAGGGAGCAGGGGGTTGATTGCAGGGCCCAGGAGGGAGCAGGGGGTTGGTTGCAGGGGACAGGAGTGAGCAGAGATGGGCTTAATGGGCAGAGAAAATTACACAGTCAAGGTTGTTGTCTCCCAGCACAATAACAATTCTCTTCTTTGGGCCTTCACATGTACAAGTAAAAGAACTCCAGCTTTAGACATTTATTCAACTCCCCGTTCAATCAGATTCAAACACTGAATTTCTTAGGCATTATATATTTTAATTACAGGCCTATAATATTGGCAATGGTTGTTTCCTCTTTAAAATTAACAAAGTCTTGCTGGTGATTGAAAAATAAAACCGGTTCCTCAAATAGTCACATGGCAGGTGAGTCCTCCATCACATTGTCCAAGCTTCCTGGGCACCGGAGAGCTGAATGAAGCCGAGAAGTGGAACACGGACAATGGGTGGAATGAATTATGCACAGTGGAAACTTGCAGTGAACAATAGCTGGTTTCTCTGCATTGTCCTCATGAATGAGCAGACTGGAACACATCATACGGGGGTGCCGAAGTGCTCTGTAAACTCTCCCAGTGTGTACACTTTGCCGTAGCCCACAGCGGGATCCATACTGATGAACTCATCCAGGTTCATTGAAGATTCTGAAACCATCAAAGCAACAAAATCAAACTTGGGTGCTCTTGCTGTTTCTAAAGATTAACCCTTTCACTGCCAGAGCTGTTTTTGCAATTTTTTTTTTGTGTGTACGCTTGTTAAAATCCACATTTTAGGCCTAAAGATCACTTTAGGCCTAAAATGAGAACTAAGGGGTCAGGGCTTTCCCCCATAGTTCTCCAAAGGGTCACGGGAGAACACAAACTAGCATCCTCCCCTGACCCAAAGCTCAGTATACCGCGAGCTACAGCTCGCGGTATACTGAGACGCCGCAGCCGAGACGGATCCCGACATTACTGTCTGGATCCGCCCAGCTGCGTGATTGACAGCTGGATCTGCTTATCTAGAGGCAGAGCCAGCTGTACCCGCCCCCTCCCCCGTCCGTTCCACCAGTCAGCGCTGGAGGATCCGACAGGGGAGGGGTGGGGGGGGGATCCCTGCAGGGAGCCGTGAGTGACAGTCACGGCTCTCTGCAGGGATAGATCGAGAAGTGAGCGAGTGACGGTATATGTTCGCTCACTTCCCGATCGACTGAGCCGACCTGTGACAGTTTCATTGTAATAGGTCGGCTCAGATTATGAGGCTGAGTGAAAATCACTCGCCTCATAATTCACTTTTAACTTAAGGTAGAACTGAAACCAGTTAGAGTGAGGAAGGGTTATCCCCCTCCCCGAGTCCCATTGGTGAGATTTCCCTTCACTTCCTATCTGATGGCCACAGCAGGAAGTGAGAGAAAATCCGTCCAAAGTGAGGAAAATCCCTGGTGGTCACCCAGTGTGCCCATTATAAGATTTCCTATCTATTTCTGTTCTGATGACACAACTCAAAGTTTGGCATTTTCTTTCATTTTCAGTAATAATGATCATCAGGAAAAATAGAGAGGGTGAATCTCCCTAAACCGGGGACACCGACAGCAATAAAACCTGACATGTTCTAATCCCTCTCCACTCCATCCAAAACTAAAACGTTTCAGTTGAACTTTTACTTTATTGCCATCACAAACGGGCTAACAAGCCCCCTATGTGATAGCACTGGGCAGGTGATAGGTTCTCTTTAGGGCATGTTCACACCATGTCCGGATCATGTCCAGACCAGAACAGTTTGTTCCCGGACCAAAAAAGCATCCTAATGTATCCCTATGGTATTTCTGGGCTCTGTTTACACCAGTGCAATCCGCTCCAGACGGGAAAAAAAAACTGCGTCTCATTTTCTCTGGTCTAGATTAAACTGGAACGCATGCAAACACACTGGACCGCACCTGAAAGCTCATTTTAAACGGGAAAAACCCCCCACACTCCGCAACGCAGTAAAAACGCAGCAAAACGCAATGCATCGCGTTCCAGATCTGGTCCGGAAAATGGTGTGAGCCTGGCCTTAATAAGACTTCATTGTAGGGCAGGGAACTGTAAGAGTGAAGGTCTTCTTACCTGGAGTCAGGGGCGTCCTGAGGCCAGGGGTCACCCGGTCTCCAGACCGGGTGACACCCCGCCGTGTCGTCATCGCGCATGTGCGGCCATCTGATTGATGCCTGCCGGTGGCCATCTTGGTGATGGACGCCGGCAGAGAGAGCAGGGGACGATCACCCGGTAGGATGAGGTATGCCGCCGGGTCCCCTCCTCTTTCCTGACACTGTCGGGCTCTCGGTCCATGACCAAGTGCCCAACTTTTTAGAGGGGGTGACACCAAAATGACTGTCAGTCATTTTGGTGTCACCCGGATGCGGGCCGCACCCCCCTTGTGACGCCACTGCCTGGAGTTACACTTTAGCGTATTCAATATTCTGCAAAATCAATTTTACCAACCAGGCACCGTTGTGTACAGTGCGACGCAATACAACTCACATATGGGTTAAATCTTTTAAACCGGCTGCTCTAAGATGCTCGTGTTTTGTGGTGTGCTGCCCTTTAAAATAAAAGGCACCTCAAAGCACCGCATTACGCAACGCATTCATCTAAATGTGCTCTTATATTTTTAAAGCAGCGATTCTGGCTCTCGAACATGTTTGGCTTTGTAATATCACACTGATGGTGGTAGATGTAAGAGTAGTCCTGCGCTGAACGAGCCTGTAACAAGGTAACATCTGCGTATTGATCGATCTGGTGTTTGTGTTGTAACTTGTAAACATTTCCGATCAGGTTTATATAAAACCGTCACATCTGTCAAAGCTTCATCCAATGCAGATCTACGCGAGCCAGACACATTCTGGAGCGCTGCGTGTGAAATCGCTCTTTCAGACCGCTGAGGATTCTTGGCAAGACTTCTGTTATTCAGGACAACAAAAGGAGATGAATTTTACTCAAAGCTTTCCTTTTCCTTCTAGAAGGTTAAAAAAGAACTCTGGACACATTGGAATCAGTGTATTAAATGGCCGTACATTCACCTTCCTGGAGCGATTGGTGCCCACAGTCTGGGGCCGCTGCCTTATGTCACAGAGCGGTTAAGCTGGCCATACACGGATTTAATTTTGCCCGTTTGCTGCTGACACTGCCAAAAATTATCCCACTGGTACCACCGGGCTCAACAAAATTCGATTTTCAAACTGACTTTTGTTAAAAGGAGCCAGGTGGGAACTTTTCAGTCAATCAGCTGCAGTCATGCTACCACCGCACTGCAAGGGTTAAATGCTTATTTTGGTCTAGGTGCAAAAAAAAAATAAAGTTATACTCACCTGAACCTCAGAGTTGGCTGGCTATTACAGCACTCTCTTTCCTTCTCTGCGGCAGCAATGGTGTCTCCCTCAACGTCCTATACACTGTGTACACACACAAGGGATGACTCGGGGACCATAGGCCGCTGCAGAGGAAGGGGAGTCACGCTTGAAGGAGCAGTCTCAGGCTAGGCTCAAACTAGGCGACTCCTGACCGTGCGGTTTTGTGCACGATTGCCACGCGGTCAGGAGTCGCCAAGGTGCAAATCGATCGCGTTGTGGGTGCCCTTATTTTTGAATGGCACCCCAGTCGTGCCAGGCGGATCGTGCTGTTTCCCGCCGCGATTCCGCCCGTGCAAGTGAACGCTAAAAAAGCTGCGCCTCGTGTGTTACAAAAAAAGGTACCTGTACCCTTTTGTAGCGATTACAGCGCGGATGTCACCACATTGAAATCAATGGGGCCGCGAGGCAATCGCTGTGTGCATTGCGCGTGTCCCCGGTGTTGTGCAGTGTAGTGCAGGTGTGAACCTAGCCTAAGAGCAAGTCGGCTCCGAGGATCAGGTGAGTATAACTTTTATTTTTGCACCTAGAACAAAACAAGGACTTGACCCACTTAGCCCCGCTGCAAGGGTTAAGAAAACATTTCCCTGGAGTTCTTCTTTAGGAAATGCGTGACTTATGTTACCTAGTGCTGACCCAAGCAGGCAAAGCAACAGGTCCACTTTAATGCCAGCCAACCACCTCAACCCCCCATCTGTGTATAATCTTCTCTTCACTCTTCCACCACCCACAGTGAAAAGAAATACCCAGCACAAGCAGGTACGGGGCATATATGACTCTCTCCCCTACTAGGGCCCCAGATTGCCCACCCCTGGACTAGAGGACTAGAGGGACATGGAAGCTTATGCCGAAATTTTTCTCTTCTCTACTTTGGGAAAATAAAGCACCATTGCCGCAAAGGGAAGACAAGTACTGTATAAGCAGTGTGGGCAGAGAATACAAGCAAACATGCAATGTTGTCAAGTAAACACTGCAGCTGTCCTAAACAAGAGCTTTCACTAAGCCCCCGGGAGCCACTGGCACATGCTGGCAGGAGTGTACTTCCTAAGTCTCCGTTCACACCTAGGCGCTTTGTCACTCAAAGGTAAAACGCTCAAGACAAGCAATCCCATTCATTCCTATGGCCCCGTCACACCGGAGTGTTTTGTCACAAGCAGAAAAACGCCTGTCCCTGGAAAAAGTACATGAGCTACTTTTTGGCAGATGACAGCGTTTTTATGATCTCATAGACTTCAATGAGAAGCTTTGTGAGACAAAACGCTCAGGTGTGACCAGGGGCCATAGAAATTATTATTATACAGGATTTATATAGCGCCAACAGTTTGCGAAGCGCTTTACAATATAGGGAAGACATTACAATCACAATTCAAGACAAGATGGTAAGGAGGGCCCTGCCCCTGAGGGCTTACAATCTATAAGGGAGAGGCCAGTGATACATGAGGAGGTAGCTGTGTGGGGATGAATTGTTTGAGAATGTGATGGTTGAGTAGAAACTAATGTGATTTCTTCTCTCGAGCGTTTTGTCGCGCTTAGCTTTCAGTGACAAAACGTCTAGGTGTGAATGGAGCGTAAGCCCTCATTCACACTAGAAAAGGCCGGCACGTACAGATCCATGCTGCGTGCACGGCCGTATCGGGTAGCTCCCGGGAAGGGCAGGTGCTGTGTGTGATTAGTACGCAGCCCTCGTCCTTATATGAGACTACGCGGCCGTACGCCGCCCTATGCTCACGCCAAGTGCTGGTCTCTACGGGTGCGTGTTTCCTGGCTCAAACGCAGAGAGGATCCATATACATTGATACATTGTCAAATTGTCAATTATCAAGTAGGCCTACTACAAAGTCCATAAAAATAAAAATGAAGAAAGCCAGCAATGCGAGTCATGAGAATGTACATCATATACATCATCGCTGCACCTCTACATTACCACAATAAATGCTGATCACTTACAGAAGAGGATATGGGCTTTAAGTCTGGCATTCCGCTAGAGACAGAACACACCTAATTGTTAGTTTTGTACGTGGTCTCTAGTCCTCCTCAGCCTTTCATAGTTAATCAGGTCTGAATCAGGGAAAAACCATCTAATAATGCAGCAAGTGACCTGCTGTGTATGGTGAACATTAGCCAGCGTCATGTAATGGAGGATACAGATACAAAGTGACACGTTCTGGCCTATGCATTAGCCATTTTCCCAGACAAAGAGTTCTGTGCTCAACATTGTCAGACATACACCAGAACTGACCTGCAGTGCGGATACAAGGATAAGGAGGAGGAGGCTTCTTCCACTTATTACCCGCGTCTTTCATATGAGAACGGTCAGAAGCAAACGTCCGGAGAAACTCATCTGCTTGTATTAACCTGAGCTTTCTAGAATAAAACAAAATGTGAATTTATTAGGTGAATATCATAATGCAAAGTTGCAGATTCTGTAAAAGCCCCAAAAATATGCAAATGACTGTAACTTTAGGAGTATATCATGTGAAGTATATCATCAGGAGTATTTCATGTGAAGTATATCATCAGGAATATATCATGTGAAGTATATCATCATGTGAAGTATATCATCAGGAGTATATCATGTGAAGTATATCATCAGGAGTATATCATGTGAAGTATATCATCAGGAGTATATCATGTGAAGTATATCATCAGGAGTATATCATGTGAAGTATATCATCAGGAGTATATCATGTGAACCTGCACTTCATTTTAAAAGAGAAACAAAGCGAAATCTTTCAAGTGTGAAAAAGAAAGATTCTATAGATTTCTGTGCGCAATGGAGCAGATGTCCCAAAGCTCAACTATACCTTCCTTTAAGGCATACCCCCTCTTCCCTGAGTGTGGCCCACATAGAGAAATACCTTCATTCTTAAAAGGAGAACTATGAGGTGAGTGCTTTTCACTCACCTCATAGTTCTAGCCGACCTGTGACAATGAGACTGTCACAGGTCGGCTCAGTAGATCGGGAGGTGAGCGAACACATAGCAGTGTTCGCTCACTTCTCGATCCTGTCACGGCTCTCTGCCGTGACAGGGGAGGTGCTGGATTCCCCCCTCCGATCCGCCAGCGCTGACTGGCGGAACGGACGGGGGCGGGTACAGCTTGCTCTGCCTCTAGATGGGCAGAGCCAGTTGTCAGTCACGCAGCTGGGCGGATCCAGACATAATTGTCGGGATCCGCTTCAGCTGCGGCGTCTCAGTATACCACGAGCTACAGCTCACAGTATACTGAGCCTAGGGTGACGGGAGGACACTAGTTTGTGTCCTCTCGTAACCCTAAGGAGAACTATGGGGAAAAGCCTTAACCCCATAGTTCTCCTTTAAACCAGCCATGCTGTGTGCCAGCCGGTCCAGAGCCACATAGACTGGCTTCAGAAAGCATCACAGCAGGTCATCTTCATCCTGCACATGTCCCTATTCATTCCTATGAAGAAAGCTGTACTTAGCAGGACCGCTGTGTGTGCTGCCATGAGTACAACTCCCAATAGGAATGAATGGGGTTGAGATACACATGCACAAGATTTAAGAGAACCAGCAAGGACAGCCCCAGGTAGTGCCACACAGTGAAGATCACTGGATCTTAAAGTGACACTAAACTCAGGAGTTAAACCTTAAAAATACATTCAAGTACCTTAACTATTAATAAAAATGTATCTTATTTATGTATCACTCGGCTGTAGATCCTCAAATCATCTCTGAATTGGTGCTGACACTGTCCTTCCTTCTGGAGGGGGGCTACTTTGTTCCCCATGTTCCTGTGTGTGTTGTAAAGTAGTCATCGCTCCATGCTCACTCCTGTGGTGGACTACAATCTCAATACAAATGAGCAAACTCAACGTGAGATGATGGACCACAAATTAGTAAACAATACGTCCAAGTTTAGATTGCTAATTAAAATTGTAGTCCATCACGTATGTAGTCCAATGTATTTAAGATTTAACTCCTGAGAGTTTAGCGTCACTTTCAGCTTGATCCATTTAGGAATTCAGCTGAATTAATAAAACGAACAACAGGCTCATGCTCAAATGCCAGACAAGAGTGACATCTACTGGATACACTAAGAACTGCACACTATGCAAAAGTCAGGCCAAGTATAATCTAACGCATAGCGAAAAGGTAGCTTAGCTATAGATTTTTGAAGTGTGCATCTTCAAACACGAACACCACATTAACTCATTTTTTATCTTTCAAACAATTAAGACCTACAAAGAGCCGAATCATCATTAATAATGAAATGCCCAAGTCAGAATTCTCACAGCACATTTCACAAACTCATTGAGCATAAGGCCTAAGTCAGAGTTTCATTTTGCCATTGTGCAAAGAAGCCTCTTCCTGGTCCTTCCCCACCGACATCATCCCACCTCCAGCACACAGATTTGTCTTTTCCCTATAATATCCCATCCCCAGCACACACACATTGTTCTCCCCCTGTATCCTCCTCCAGCACACACACATTGTTCTCCCCCTGTATCCTCCTCCAGCACACACACATTGTTCTCCCCCTGTATCCTCCTCCAGCACACACACATTGTTCTCCCCTATACCTTCCTCCAGCACACACATTTTTCTCCCCCTGTATCCCTCCTCCAGCACACACACACACATTTGTCTCCCCCTGTATCCTCCTCCAGCACACACACATTGTTCTCCCCCTGTATCCTCCTCCAGCACACACACATAGGTCTTCCCCTGTATCCTCCTCCAGCACACACACATAGGTCTTCCCCTGTATCCTCCTCCAGCACACACACATAGGTCTTCCCCTGTATCCTCCTCCAGCACACACACATAGGTCTTCCCCTGTATCCTCCTCCAGCACACACACATAGGTCTTCCCCTGTATCCTCCTCCAGCACACACACATAGGTCTTCCCCTGTATCCTCCTCCAGCACACACACATAGGTCTTCCCCTGTATCCTCCTCCAGCACACACACATAGGTCTTCCCCTGTATCCTCCTCCAGCACACACACATAGGTCTTCCCCTGTATCCTCCTCCAGCACACACACATAGGTCTTCCCCTGTATCCTCCTCCAGCACACACACATAGGTCTTCCCCTGTATCCTCCTCCAGCACACACACATAGGTCTTCCCCTGTATCCTCCTCCAGCACACACACATAGGTCTTCCCCTGTATCCTCCTCCAGCACACACACATAGGTCTTCCCCTGTATCCTCCTCCAGCACACACACATAGGTCTTCCCCTGTATCCTCCTCCAGCACACACACATAGGTCTTCCCCTGTATCCTCCTCCAGCACACACACATAGGTCTTCCCCTGTATCCTCCTCCAGCACACACACATAGGTCTTCCCCTGTATCCTCCTCCAGCACACACACATAGGTCTTCCCCTGTATCCTCCTCCAGCACACACACATAGGTCTTCCCCTGTATCCTCCTCCAGCACACACACATAGGTCTTCCCCTGTATCCTCCTCCAGCACACACACATAGGTCTTCCCCTGTATCCTCCTCCAGCACACACACATAGGTCTTCCCCTGTATCCTCCTCCAGCACACACACATAGGTCTTCCCCTGTATCCTCCTCCAGCACACACACATAGGTCTTCCCCTGTATCCTCCTCCAGCACACACACATAGGTCTTCCCCTGTATCCTCCTCCAGCACACACACATAGGTCTTCCCCTGTATCCTCCTCCAGCACACACACATAGGTCTTCCCCTGTATCCTCCTCCAGCACACACACATAGGTCTTCCCCTGTATCCTCCTCCAGCACACACACATAGGTCTTCCCCTGTATCCTCCTCCAGCACACACACATAGGTCTTCCCCTGTATCCTCCTCCAGCACACACACATAGGTCTTCCCCTGTATCCTCCTCCAGCACACACACATAGGTCTTCCCCTGTATCCTCCTCCAGCACACACACATAGGTCTTCCCCTGTATCCTCCTCCAGCACACACACATAGGTCTTCCCCTGTATCCTCCTCCAGCACACACACATAGGTCTTCCCCTGTATCCTCCTCCAGCACACACACATAGGTCTTCCCCTGTATCCTCCTCCAGCACACACACATAGGTCTTCCCCTGTATCCTCCTCCAGCACACACACATAGGTCTTCCCCTGTATCCTCCTCCAGCACACACACATAGGTCTTCCCCTGTATCCTCCTCCAGCACACACACATAGGTCTTCCCCTGTATCCTCCTCCAGCACACACACATAGGTCTTCCCCTGTATCCTCCTCCAGCACACACACATAGGTCTTCCCCTGTATCCTCCTCCAGCACACACACATAGGTCTTCCCCTGTATCCTCCTCCAGCACACACACATAGGTCTTCCCCTGTATCCTCCTCCAGCACACACACATAGGTCTTCCCCTGTATCCTCCTCCAGCACACACACATAGGTCTTCCCCTGTATCCTCCTCCAGCACACACACATAGGTCTTCCCCTGTATCCTCCTCCAGCACACACACATAGGTCTTCCCCTGTATCCTCCTCCAGCACACACACATAGGTCTTCCCCTGTATCCTCCTCCAGCACACACACATAGGTCTTCCCCTGTATCCTCCTCCAGCACACACACATAGGTCTTCCCCTGTATCCTCCTCCAGCACACACACATAGGTCTTCCCCTGTATCCTCCTCCAGCACACACACATAGGTCTTCCCCTGTATCCTCCTCCAGCACACACACATAGGTCTTCCCCTGTATCCTCCTCCAGCACACACACATAGGTCTTCCCCTGTATCCTCCTCCAGCACACACACATAGGTCTTCCCCTGTATCCTCCTCCAGCACACACACATAGGTCTTCCCCTGTATCCTCCTCCAGCACACACACATAGGTCTTCCCCTGTATCCTCCTCCAGCACACACACATAGGTCTTCCCCTGTATCCTCCTCCAGCACACACACATAGGTCTTCCCCTGTATCCTCCTCCAGCACACACACATAGGTCTTCCCCTGTATCCTCCTCCAGCACACACACATAGGTCTTCCCCTGTATCCTCCTCCAGCACACACACATAGGTCTTCCCCTGTATCCTCCTCCAGCACACACACATAGGTCTTCCCCTGTATCCTCCTCCAGCACACACACATAGGTCTTCCCCTGTATCCTCCTCCAGCACACACACATAGGTCTTCCCCTGTATCCTCCTCCAGCACACACACATAGGTCTTCCCCTGTATCCTCCTCCAGCACACACACATAGGTCTTCCCCTGTATCCTCCTCCAGCACACACACATAGGTCTTCCCCTGTATCCTCCTCCAGCACACACACATAGGTCTTCCCCTGTATCCTCCTCCAGCACACACACATAGGTCTTCCCCTGTATCCTCCTCCAGCACACACACATAGGTCTTCCCCTGTATCCTCCTCCAGCACACACACATAGGTCTTCCCCTGTATCCTCCTCCAGCACACACACATAGGTCTTCCCCTGTATCCTCCTCCAGCACACACACATAGGTCTTCCCCTGTATCCTCCTCCAGCACACACACATAGGTCTTCCCCTGTATCCTCCTCCAGCACACACACATAGGTCTTCCCCTGTATCCTCCTCCAGCACACACACATAGGTCTTCCCCTGTATCCTCCTCCAGCACACACACATAGGTCTTCCCCTGTATCCTCCTCCAGCACACACACATAGGTCTTCCCCTGTATCCTCCTCCAGCACACACACATAGGTCTTCCCCTGTATCCTCCTCCAGCACACACACATAGGTCTTCCCCTGTATCCTCCTCCAGCACACACACATAGGTCTTCCCCTGTATCCTCCTCCAGCACACACACATAGGTCTTCCCCTGTATCCTCCTCCAGCACACACACATAGGTCTTCCCCTGTATCCTCCTCCAGCACACACACATAGGTCTTCCCCTGTATCCTCCTCCAGCACACACACATAGGTCTTCCCCTGTATCCTCCTCCAGCACACACACATAGGTCTTCCCCTGTATCCTCCTCCAGCACACACACATAGGTCTTCCCCTGTATCCTCCTCCAGCACACACACATAGGTCTTCCCCTGTATCCTCCTCCAGCACACACACATAGGTCTTCCCCTGTATCCTCCTCCAGCACACACACATAGGTCTTCCCCTGTATCCTCCTCCAGCACACACACATAGGTCTTCCCCTGTATCCTCCTCCAGCACACACACATAGGTCTTCCCCTGTATCCTCCTCCAGCACACACACATAGGTCTTCCCCTGTATCCTCCTCCAGCACACACACATAGGTCTTCCCCTGTATCCTCCTCCAGCACACACACATAGGTCTTCCCCTGTATCCTCCTCCAGCACACACACATAGGTCTTCCCCTGTATCCTCCTCCAGCACACACACATAGGTCTTCCCCTGTATCCTCCTCCAGCACACACACATAGGTCTTCCCCTGTATCCTCCTCCAGCACACACACATAGGTCTTCCCCTGTATCCTCCTCCAGCACACACACATTGGCCTATCCCCTGTATCCTCCTCCAGCACCCACACATTGGCCTATCCTCTGTATCCCACCCCCAAGGAGCGCCCACACACAGTCTCTGTCCTGAATCCTCCTCCAGCACACACACATTGGTAATTTCCTTGCATCTTCCTCCAGCACACAGACACATTGATCTTTTTCCTGAATCCCTTCTGCTTCTGCAAACACACATACCCTGTATCATCCTCCAGCACACACACACTGTTCTCCCCCTCTATGCTCCTCCAGCACACACACATTGGCCTATCCCCTGTATCCCACCCCCAGCATTTGCGTGCAGGCACACACACACTGGTCTCTCCCCTGAATCCTCTTTCAGCATACACACACACACCTGTATTTTCCCTGTACCCCTCCTTTAGCATACAGACATTGGTCTTTCACCTGTATCCATTCTACAAAACACACACATCTATACCTTGTATCCTTCTCCAGTACACACTAGGGCTGCAACAACTAATCGACATAATCGATTATAATCGATTATTGAAAAAGTTGTCAACTTTTTCAATAATCGATTAATCGGCTTCCGATCAGTTGGCCCTGTACACAGCTCCACACACGCTGCGCGCTGCACCTCCTCCCCACCTCACACTCGTCGCTGCCAGGCCCGCATCCACGCTCTTCACGCCGCACCTCCTCCCCGCCGCACACTCACCGCCCACCCACATCCACGATCGGCACAGGGACGCGGGGAGATGTAGTAAGGAGGATCAGGTGTGGGGGGATGACAGCCGCTGATAGACAGGTCCGATCTCAGAAGCAAGTTGCTGGAAGACTGCTCAGTTAAGCCTGCACTTTGCCACACATGGTGCTCTATAATGTATTGCTGGGATTTGTATTCCTCTATAGCTGATGGTACATTGTGCTGTATATTATACAGAGCAATGTACCATCAGCTATAGAGGAATACAAATCCCAGCAATACATTATACACTGTATGTATAATGTATTGCTGGGATTTGTTGTATTCCTCTATAGCTGGTGATATTCTGCATTGCGCTGTATAGAGGACTACAAATCCCAGCAATAATACATTATACAGCGCAATGCAGAATACCACCAGCTATAATGTACTATTGCTGGGATTTGTTGTAGTCCTCTATAGCTGGTGGTATTCTGCATTGTGCTATATAATGTACTATTGCTGGTATTTGTAGTCCTCTATAGTCGGTGCCATTCTGCATTCATTGCTTTATAATTTTACACTTTCCTTTTCACTATATTGCACACAACACTATTTTTTTTCTTTTTTACTTCCACCGCTCCAAGCTTGCTCCTGTGATGGAGTGCAATCTCAATACAAACTAGTAGTCCATCACTGGAGCCATTTTTTAAAATTTGTTTTATTGTTTATCCAATTAACCGATTAATCGAACTTAATAATCGGCTAACTAATCGATTTTGAAAATAATCGTTAGCTGCAGCTCTAGTACACACATCAGCAGAGGAGGGACCTGAAGGAGAAAGTTCTCCTTCAGGACCTTCTCTGCTGATTGACAGCAGGCAGTGGGCAGGTGAAAAAGCCAGCTTGCTAATGGCTATTTCAAACTGCAATAGAAAACATTATTGAAGTCTTGCCGCCGGCTTTCTACCGCCGGCAGTTGAATTGAACAGATGCAGTGGGGGAAGTTGCAGAGTCACGGCAGCGTTGGCTGACAGCCTGTCCCTCCTCCCTGCTAGGCGCTGGCTGCAGCGGTCCCTGTCCCCTTCAATTCCCATTGCTGTTACAGGCAGAAGAGAGCAGTGGGGATCGGAGGGGATGCAAACTGCACCATGCAGCGGGTTCCCAATAGGGAGGATAGAGCTGCAGAGCGGTGGCGGCAGAGTTAAGGGGAGGTTTGGTGGAGCTCTACTCAACGTTGGGCACCAGTTGCAGGGGTGTGTCCCCTCCAATCCCCGCTGCTCCCACACGAAGATGAAACGCCAGCTCCCAGTGCAGAGGAGAGAACTAGGTGATCCGCACCAACTAATCGATAATGAGAATCGTTGACAACGATTTTCAATTTCGATTATTATTGATTAATCAGTTAGTTGGTTGCAGCCCTACTATGCGTAGCCAACTTTAGGCTAAAACAGACTATATAACAACAGACTATATAACAACAGTCAGTATATATAGACAAAGATACCTGTGGATGTTTTACCTCTTGAAGTCCTTATGGATATTCTGATCAGATTGGAGAGCTTCCTTAATATATCGCTCACAGGGGCATGGGAATGGCAGCACACTATCTTGGTCATAAATCAGCCGCTGTCCTCCACTGCAGACATGGAGCAAGATAACATGATAATCCTGCAAGCACAACAAGCCCAGGTTGTATTATATGTATGCATATACATGGCTACTGCATAGTTCACAGCTATTCATTTAACGGATCACATCATTCCCTGTCACATCATTCCCTGTCCCTCCTGCAGTCACTCAACCAATAGCAGGAGTTATTTATTTTAAAGCGGGGTGGACAAATTAATACTGAATTTGGGAGCAAGTCTGTCCCCTTCAGGAACCAGCAGGAATTTTTAGGAGCCAACTCTATTGACAACAACTAGAGAAATCCTCAAAAGTTAGGTGCCAGCTGTAATGTTTAAGGAGCAAAGGTGACCTGGTTCCTGGGATTTAACCAACCCTGTTTTAAAGAACACCAATAAGCACTATGTGTATCTATAATGATAGCACAGTAGAAAGCAGGAATCACCAGCACTCAGTAGATAGTGTTCAGATAATAAACGTCCATTTAATCGGACCAATTAATCGGACCGTTATGTGTGACGATTGGTCCGATTAATTGGACGTTTATTATCTGAACACTATCTACTGAGTGCTGGTGATTCCTACTTTCTACCAATCGTCACACAACGTATTACGTTATGTGTGACGATTGGTCCGATTAATTGGACGTTTATTATCTGAACACTATCTACTGAGTGCTGGTGATTCCTGCTTTCTACTGTTTGATGTGCACGGCGCCATCTGCGATTATCATTGCGAGCACCACCATTGTGATTTGGGCCGGGGACGCTGTAAGGAATGCAGAGGGACCTACTGCTTTCTATAATGACAGCACAGCACGATGAAGTTGTCATGCAAGAAAAACTATAATGCCATTATAAATCTTAAATAAAATAATACTGTGCTACCATGCCTATAAAGGTTATGTGCATCAGTGGACCTGCATTGTACGTTGGGATGCCAAGGGCCCACCTACATCCTGGGGGCATCAATCAGAAATGAGGAATATGGTAAGTAATTCACCTTATTCATCATCCCCTAGACAAAACAAGCAATTCACCCTTGCAGTGCTGAGGGGGACCCACTGCAAGGGTAACATTGTCTCCCAGTTTGTGCTAATCTCTAAAACCCCAGAAGTATAAACTTACCTTTTCTGCAATCTCTTGCAGCTCTGTTCATCACCAGGAGTTGAAGGAAGCATGTATATTCTATGCCTGGCAGTGATATGCAAAACAACAAAAACAAATGTTGTCCGAGCACAGCCGGATTCGTACAACTGAAGTGTAGAAAGTCACCAGTGCTTCAAATGTATTCATTGTGAAAACATCATGTTACAAGACCCATGCCTATGGTTAGCTGCCTTGCAGGGTCCCTATAGCAAGGCCATATAGTGTCATTCCTTTGGGCAACACACCTGGAAGTTGACGTGGGCTCACTTGATGCCTGGAGTCTGTCCTCTCATCAGAACACCCCACAAGGCGTGATGGGCTGGTGGCCCCCAGGCTACTTTGCACAAGATGTCACCTGTTCAGGACCCTCAGGATTTTCCCATCAAGAAGGTTTCAGGAGCAGATTGGTGACGATGTGGAGACAGGTAGACAGCACTAGCAAGGTAGAACAATAGCTAGCACATTTTACATGGTCGCTGGCAAGAAGGGATGGTGTTTACATACCTTCCACTACCAGTCAGAGACGCTTGGCACTGCACTCTAATAGACATGCAGGGATGCATGCAATCACATGCAACCCCCTCAGCCAAAAGCCCATGAGCTGGATGTGTACGGCCGGCTCAGCTGTTCAGAACAGGCCATGTCCCTTGCTGTACAGAAGTGGATCCTGAAGGTACTGTAGCAGTCACTAAAAAGCTTTGAGAAAGACCCCCTGTGAGGCCCCAAAAATACTGGAATGGATCTTGTGATATGAAGCTTCTCATGTGAAGTGCTGCTGACTTTCCACACTTCAGTTGATTCTTCAACTCAGCCATCCATTGTGTCATATCACGCACCCACCATCTTGATAAGGTCACAGGCTGACGGTAGTGCAGCTCACACGTGGACTATTTGATTTGTAAAACTGACATTATCTGAATTAAAAAAGTAGGACCCAGCATGATACTCACCCATATTACAGGTTCACCATGCCTACCACATTGCTGTTTCCAAATAGGTATCTGCATGTAAGAGAGAGAAAATAAAACCTCCGAGAACTTTATATCACCAACTAGAAATCAGATTATAACACTTGGTGGTTGCAGCGGGATATGACACCTCACTCGCTCACCTGGAATACAAGGGCCACCAAAATAATGAATACAGGATGTAAGCCTCTCAAACTGATAACCATACAAACTGTAAAGCAATCAGCACATTGTGAGGTAGTTCCAATTTAAAAAAAAAATTAAGCAATGGGGCGGAAGCTCGCAGAGTGCAGCGAAATCTGAGTAAGCATTTTCAAACAAGAGAAGGGCCAGTACAACTGTGTACAACAAAAGCTGGAGGTTTAAAGGAGAACTATGAGGTGAGGGATTTTCACTCAACCTCATAGTTTTAGCCGACCTGTGACAATGAAACTGTCACACGTCAGCTCAATAGATCGGGAAGTGAGGGAACACATACCGTCACTCGCTCACTTCTCGATCATCTCCCTGCAGAGAGCCGTGACTGTCACTCACGGCTCCCTGCAGGGATTCCCCCCCTCCCCTGTCCGATCCTCCAGCGCTGACTGGCGGAACTGACGGGGGAGGGTACAGCTTGCTCTGCCTCTAGATAGGCAGAGCCAGCTGTCACTCACGCAGCTGGGTGGATCCAGACAGTAATGTCGGGATTCGTCCCGGCTGCTGCATCTCAGTATAGCGCGAGCTGTAGCTCGCAATATACTGAGCTTTGGGTCACGGGAGGACGCTAGTTTGTGTCCTCCCGTTACCCTTAGGAGAACTATGGGGAAAAGCCCTGACCCCATAGTTCTCCTTTAAGAGTGTAAAGCAGTTGCTATATATCCCAGTGAACTATATCACATGGAATAGATCTCTTACCATTCTCTTTTCATTAGACAGGAACACAGCATAAAATTCTTGCAGAGGTCTTTCACTCTGATCTCGGACGTACTCGCAGAGCTTCCAAACATTTTCTTCACTGTGCATAAAAGGAAAATGAATGTGTTATATTGCAGCGTAGATCTGGAATTCATCTTTAAGCTGATCTGCAGGCAAACACAACCCCCCCCTCCCTAGGGGACTGGAGTAAAGCTGCCCATACACCTTGCAATCATCGCATGAAAATTTTCGTCCGATGATGGTCTTATGATTTTCGTACAGCGGCCCCATCCTGCCCTGACCATCGCACAGTCCAATTAGCAGCTCTTAGAAGAAATCACCTGGACGAACTTAATCGACCGCACAGATTTTTGTTTGCGAATGAGCAGTGTTAATCGTAAGATTTTTGACTTACGGAAACGCCACAAACCTTGCGAAAATCGTACGATCGACCGAACCTGCTGAAAAGTCAATCGATTGTACGGTATTTGCGGTTGTACACTGCCCATCAAATGTACGAAAACGCGATCGCAAACGAGATTCGGCCGATATTCATAAGTTGTATGGGCACCTTACAGCAGATGCCCGATACCTCTAGGCTGCAAGACCCTGACTCCCCGCAGCCTCTTCTGTCCTGGCCTCTGGCAGTCTAAGGAACTCTGACATTCCATAGAACTGCATTAGATGTCAGGACCCAGGGGGACATTCTGGATTGCCCTCTGCTTGATTTGGGATTCTGAAGCAAGTGGAGTAATATTCAAATAAATACATGGATTGAGGAAAAATAAATCAGGACAAGACCCTAGTCAGGTGATCCGTCAATACCATGAGACCGACCTCCCCTCCAGTCATGGAGTTCGCTCTGCGATGAGACACTGGGGGGATGCATTTTATGAATGGGATGTAAAATGACACTGGGGGGTTCCATTTTTATGAATGGGATGTAAAATGCTGGCCAGGGTTTGGAGTAACTTTTTGGTTTTCAGGAAAGGGTGGAATCTGATCTCAGATATAACTAGCCCCCTCTGTGTACGTTTTTACACAATACTGATGTGATACAGAACAGGGTCCCCCTGGCGCACCTGCAGAGCAGGGTCCTACCCGTGCCCCTGCAGAGCACAATCTTACCAGCACCCTTGCAGAGCACGGTTCTACCCGTGCCCTTGCAGAACACGGTGCTACCCGCGCCCCTGCCGAACACGGTGCTACCCGCACCCCTGCAGAACACGGTCCTACCCACGCCACTGCAGAACACGGTCCTACCCACGCCACTGCAGAACACGGTCCTACCCACGCCACTGCAGAACACGGTCCTACCTGCTCCCCCTGCAGAGCACGGTCCTACTCACACCTCCTGTAGAACAGGGTCTTAGTCATGCCCCTGCAGAGCATGGTTCTACCCCTGCAGAACACGGTCCTAGTCTATATTTCTTATAGGTTAACCATCCTGCATGTCCTCTTACCAGTAGCAGCTGGTGTAGCAACAGTCAGTGCGGGGGAGCAGGTCCCCAGGAGGTGTATTTGGGTCTTGGGAGGGAGTCATGACTACACGAGTACATGAGGTACACAGGTCTCCACTGTCACATGTCATCCATGTAAACAGTGACAACTGGTGTTACAGTGAACTCTTTCCTCTGGAAACAAGGAAGTAGAAGGTGTCACATGACACACTTTCTGGTCCAGCAGAGACAAGTTCCCCAACCCACCTCTTCCAAGCCAATCACCGCCCGACCCACAAGAAAACAACTCGCGTATTCTTTGCGTTAGGACACATGCTCCGCCCACTGACGCTCGCAAGTCCTTCTGTTAGACGTGTCATTGCCATGGGGGGCGTGATCCCGTGACAGACAGCCAACCAAATTTATCTTATACCTCCCGCGCTAAAACTCAACTCCAAGGGAAAGGGGAAATACAATGGATCATTCCGCCGGCCGCTGAGCGCCGTGACAAGTAGTCCCCAAAGCTTTTTTTCCGACGTGTTCACCGTGGAGGTCGACCGATTTCGGTCTACGCTTCATAATTACGGGAGAATAACTGGAAATCCGGTGGGACGGTGGTGATCTCCGTACTGTGAGGGGGGTTGGTAGTTCGGTTGGGCGCGGAGGGATCCGGCGGAGTCATTCACAGTGTGTGAGGTAGATTGTGGCGCCAGAATTTGGAAGTGTTCGCGGTAAAAGGCGCTGTGTGTAGGCGGCCATGGTTCAGCTACGGAGCTCATCCGGGGCCAGGAGCGCTCCCGAGCCCGAAGACGATTCTCTGTTGGACTCCAGCTCCGAGTTCCTTGGTCCCATGCTTTCCCCGTCACCACAACACCCTGTACCTTCCACTGTCACAATAGCTGCTCCTCCCCTATACAATCTGATTGTACAGTCTTCTCCTGTAAATGGGCCATGCATGTTGCCATCTGATTGTCCAGCCTCCTTTACATTGGATGATGCATTAATGAATACAGGGTGACATTTAATTATCTTTTATCTGCAAAACCTGTCGCTTTGTTGTTGGGAGATCCACTTTCACTATTTGTTCTAAAGACCATGGTCACTGAGAAAGTGAGGGGGGGTGGGATCCAAAATTCTATGGCTCATTTCCTGTTGTAAAGTAGACATCTTTCCCAGCTCGCTCCTGTGATGGACTACAATCTTGCATTTAGTTTTATGATCATTTGTATTGAGATTGTAGTCCGTCACGGGAGTGAGCTTGGATTTGGACTCGTCAGTCCAGAGCACCTGCTGCCATTTTTCTGCACCCCAGTTCCTATGTTTTCGTGCATAGTTGAGTCGCTTGGCCTTGTTTCCTCATTGCAGGTATGGCTTTTTAGCTGCAAGGCCACAGAAAAATGGCGGCAGGTGCTCTGGACTGAGGAGTCAGAATGTGAAATATTTAGCTGTAGCAGGAGGCAGTTTGTTTGCTGAAGGGCTGGAGAGCGGTACAATGAGTGTCTACAGCAACAGTGAAGCATGGTGGAGGTTGCTTGCAAGTCTGGGGCTGCATTTCTGCCAATGGAGTTGGAGGCTTGGTCAGGATCAATGGTGTCCTCAATGCTGAGACATACAAGCAGATTCTTGTATAATCCATCATTCCATACCATCAGGGAGGCGTGTGATTGGTCCTAAATTTATTCTGCAGCAGGACAATGCCCCCAAACGTACAGCCAATGTCATTAGGAACTATCGTCCGCGTAAAGAAAAATGTTTGAAGCCTAATACCACACAGCCAAGGGCTACTTTCTCTTATTAATCCATGACCGTATCTGACTTGTCTTACCGAATTAGGGTTCATTTGCCAATAAATCCAACGATGGGAACCATGCCCTGCGCTCATTAAGGAAGGTAACTCCTGAAAATGGTCATAACTATTCAGATTCCAGCTTGGAGAAGACTAATGAAGCGCTGACCATGAATAACACAGAAGAGAAAAGGTTTTCCAGGTAATTGAAGCTTCTCCTGGGGGCTTTCTTTTTGTTGTGACTTTATAGCCATATCTTTATATAGCGGTATATTTGGGAAGTTTTAATCAGCGGAAAGATGTGCTGTTTTAGGGCCCATTCATTCCACATCCAGATCATCTCCAGACCAGATTGTTTACAGGCACAAAATGCAACCCATTGTATCCCTATGTTATTTCTGGCTCCTGTTCACACCAGCGCAGTCCGTTCCAGACCAGAAAAATACTGCACGTCTCATTTTGTCTGGTCTGCAATGCACTGGAACTGCGGGCAGGTTCACACCATTTTCCGGACCAGATCTGGACCGGAAAATGGTGTGAACCTACCTTCCTCACTCTCAGGAAAGCAAAACTGTCAGATTGTTAGTATTTGAACATCAAGAACATTTGATTTAATTTGTCATACTTGGTTAGGTGTTTCCTACACTTTTAGGTCCTTTTTCACGTGGATGCTGTCTGCTGCGACTAGCAGGGGATCTGGGCACGGATCCGCTGCTGATTGGAGCAGGACGGAATGGATGTCAGTCTTGGGATTTCCAAGATGAGATGAGATCCGTATGCAAACGGACATGTGTTCCCGTGTACATCGGATTCTCCCCCCCCCCCATCTGTCACTGTCGGGTCCACCTGTTCCGTTTGGTTTTCAGGACCTGGATACAGTTGGGAGCAGTCGGATGTCAGCCGACGCTTGTCTTTTTAGATCCGGCTGCCCATAGACTAACGTTGGTCTTCAGTCAGATCCACTTGAAAACAGACAGGCGGACCTGTTCAGGCCTGCCCGTATGCAAACGGCCTGAATAAAACTGTGCGGTACCCATGGCAGTCAGTTTTGATCTTCTAGTGGGCTGAATTCAATCAATAACTCTGTTACTGTATTATATGAATGGTTATGACTTTTACAATTAAAAAAATAGACCAATAATCATTTAATTTTTTTACAGAAATAGTTTTTTTTATTAAAGGAGAACTTGGGTCTTTTCCCCATAGTTCTCCTAAGGGTAACGGGAGGGCACACACTAGCGTCCTCCCGTCACAATGATGGGAGGACGCTACAGCTCGCGGTATACTGAGATGGCGCAGCTGAAACGGATCCCAACAATTGTCTGGATCCGCCCAGCTGAGTGAGTGACAGCTGGCTCTGCCTATCTAGAGGCAGAGCCAGCTGTACCCGCTCCCTCCCCCGTCCGTTCCGCAGGACGAGAAGGGGGGAATCCAGTCCCTCCCCTGTCATGGCTCTCTGCCGTGACAGGATCAAGAAGTGAGCGAACGCCGGTATGTGTTCGCTCACTTCCCGATCTACTGAGCCGACCTGTGACAGTCTCATTGTCACAGGCCGGGTAGAACTATGAGGATGAGTGAAAAGCACTCACCTCATAATTCTCCTTTTTAAAGGGTTTCTAAACCCTCTGGGTTTTTTTTTGCTTATATCTAATGCTAGCATGCAGTAGATATAGGCAAGAAGTGTAAACAAAAAAACTGCTTAAAATCATTTTAAACTTACCTCGTTATCGCCGCTCGTTCCCGCGCCGAGAATCAGGAACTGCTCGTACGGCCGCAAAGGATATTGGGGCGGGCGCATGCGCAGTTCCGATTCTCGGCCGGGAGACGAGCAGAGACGCAAGGTACGTCTATGGACGCGTGCACCCGCCTGAAGACACCGCTGGATCGGAGAGACAGAGCAGTCAGCGCTGGATCGGAGTGACGTCACCGCTGGAGGGACAGATTAAAACATGGGGAAAGAAGAGGAAGATCGGAAAAAGAGACAACATTTAAGGTAAGTGCTAACATTTACATTGGGGGGGAGGGAAAAAAATGTTTGCCTTTTAATGTCACTTTAAGGGTTTCACAGAAACAACTTTTCAAAAATACACAGCGTTGAAAATTACAAACATATACATACATAATTATACAAAAGTAACTGTGAATCCTGCTGATTGTTTACATTTTGAATGCATTGCTTGCCCCCTTATCATAGTCTTCATGTTTATCTTGTTCTCTTTAGGAGGCTGGCTAGGTTGCAACCCGATGTGACTGAAAATGGCGAAGAAGGTAAAGTAAAATCTTCATAACTAATCTGTGGCACACATCATTGCAGTAGATTGGGGTCAGGTAAAATTCACTTTAGGACTTTACTTGATGGGGGGGAAAAAGTGGAAAACTTTTAGAAACGTAAAGGCCGTGTTACTCTGTGATTCTGTAGGAACTTGTAACTAGTTTTCTATACAGTTCACAAATCACTTGTGTGCCAGTGGTCAGCAGCATTGTAAAACCTGGTTGGATACTAGCATTAAGCTGGTCATGCACCTATAGATTTTCTATGGTTAGATGGAAAATGTGCAACAGATTCCTCCATCTACGCTACACTGTGTGGATGGAGGAACCTCCCTGTGGGCAAAGCTTCAGTATCTTACTATTCGTCCCCGCTGGCTCTCAAAATCTGATTGGATGCGAGCATTCTTCAAGTATTTTGACAGCCAGCAGGTCGACTAACAAGATACCTGAACAATGGAGGAATCTGTTGCATTTTTTTCATCTGACCATAGAAAATCTATAAGTATATGGCCGGCTTTAGTTCTGTAGTTGGCATCAATCACTATAAAAGTCTGTCACTCTGGCTAATCAGCAAATAGTGGGGATCCCTGTGACGCTGAGCTTGTCATTGACTGCTATTCAGTTTTTCCTAGGAGTAAATGCACTGAATAGTGATTTTGTAGTTGCTATTAAATCGCTCATTGAAACCGCGCTGAAGCTTTTTAATGTTTTGGTTGTGGAGTTTCTTTAGAGCTAAATTGCTAGTTCATTCATCTGGCAGTGTTTTACTGCAAAATCCATTTATTAAATGGATAATGGGATTGAAGAGAACTTTGTCATCACTTACAAACTCCTAGCGTTCTGGTCCAGAGGAAGACAAAGTAACCCCCTGGGCAACTGTTGCAATTTGTGCAAGACATAAAGGGGAATTGCCCCCATCCCCCAAGAGCTGTTTTTGGACCAAAAGGGCACTGATTTTCAACAATTGAATGGTTCCATCTTGCATTATCCTAAAGGGTTAGCTGACTAGGCCCAGGGTTTGGGTTGAAGGATAGAGGCTTTGGTGCAGATCCCATGAGCTGGGTGTATCATAAGGTCTGTTTCTTCCGGTGCCTAGCAATAATTCTATAGATTGTTGCACTTTTTTGTACAGGTTACCCGAGAGCTATTCTTAGGGTTTTTTTGTGGTGCTGTTATACTTCTAATTCAGCCTGCCTGAGCACCCTTTCCCAGCCTTGTACTATTGTGTCTCAGATTCAGCAGCAGGACAGTGCTGAATAGCTTGAACTGCAGCTTGATAAAATGTTCCTGCCGGGACTGTGCATGTGCTCTGCACGTTGATGCATTACTTGTGCTCGGAAGCACCAGAGGAATTAATGGAAAGTGCAAAGCCCAGAACATTTTTACATGCAGATGTGTGACCTAGTTAGAAATATTTTTTTGTAATGGGTACAGGTGATTACAAGACTGAAAAGCTTGAAACCTACAATATAAGTGTAACTGGGTTACCCGTAAAGCCTTTTGTGAACTGGCTCCTCTAATTGGAACTTTAGGGCAAAAATTAAAATGTATGAGCAGGAAGGATGTTATTGCTGAGCAGACGCTGTATGTCTTTCCAGCAATAAATGCTTCTTACCTCCCCTGCAAGCAGGACCCCAAAAAAGCAGCTCAGGGCGCAATCTCAACATGCCTTGGTGATGGCATGGACTATCCATACGCGGAAGTAATGTCAACCCAGGCTGGCCATAGATGCCGATCGTAAAAGAAGATGGGGCAATGATGTCAGCATTGTCAAGGGAGCTCGAAGTTGTTGCATCATTGGACGATGCATCGTGTGTGGAAGCATTGATATTAAACTTCGCTTCCTTTTTCTGTGCAGAGCTGAAAACATTTAAAACTGGAGATATTTCATCTGAACTTGTTCAACTTGTGTGTTTTTGCAATTGCTTAACGTCTCCCATATTCTAAAGTGTTTGGAATTAATCAGATCCATTGATTATCAAAAAAAAAAAAGATTTCAGAGTGCTTAATTTTGTCTCCTTAAAACCTCAGAGGTAATGTCGCCTGCTGAAAACAAGTCGCTGAAGAGGAAGAGAGAGGGTGCAGAGAAAGTCAGCGCCCACCAGGAAGATGGTCTCGTGGAAGTTCGTCGGAGCGGCAGGATCAGGAGGAGTCGTTACAGCACCACAAATCAGTCTGTGCTGTTTGACAAGTTGATCACAAAGTATGTAGCAGACTTTTTCAAAAGGGAAAACATGTCTTGCCTAAAACGGATAAGAGTTGCCATAGGCTGGATCTGTTCTGCGTGACGTGGCAGTTCTAACTTGATGTAACTATGCTGGAGTGGCATGGGATCCCTGTCATTGGGCATTCTGCTTATCAAATTTTGATTTGGTGTTAAAAGTAGGGATGTTCAGATACCAGTGCTGATACTTGGCATTTTCATGAGAACTACCAGGGTTGCAGCTGGGACCTGGCTCTGGCGTTCCATCACTGTCCTGAAATCATTAGTCTGTATTGTTTTTTTAAAAACAGTCACATGACAATAAACAAAAATGTATCAGTACTTGTATCTGTGAGTACTTGGGCAAGTATCAGTACTTGTACTGGGAAAAAATGGTATCGGTGCATCTCTAGTTAAGTTGCACTGAAATTCTTTACCACCCCATTCCGCACATTGTGGTTGGAAAGTGATGTCGGCTACCACTCTTAATAATTCATAATTTACTTTGAGGCAAAGCAACCTTCACTGAAGTAGTTTTGGATAATAGACTGTCCTGTGTTTCAAGGCTTCTGTTATCCGTTTTATCATTTTAGAGAATTAACAGTCTTTATAAAATGTTCCAGCAGTCCCATATGCAATCAGCTGATTTTCTATGTTACACTATAAAAGATTTGTGGAATCCCACAGAAGAAGCTAAACTCCAGCCCTCTAGCTGTTGAACTACAAATCCCATGAGGCAATGCAAGACTGACAGCCACGGGCATGGCTCCAAGAGGCAGATGCATGATGGGATTTGTAGTACTGCAATTTTACTGTGATGACATAACTGATGGTGCCTTCGGAAACGGGGGCATTGATTATCACACACTATGTGACTTTATGGGGCCGATAAGGACTCATTCTTAAAGCAGCAGTGACCTGTTGCATGGGCAAAATAATGCATGCTGTGATACATTTTATGTATTTTCTCATTTTCTCTAGGATTCCAGTTTCCTCAATGTATACTTAACCCTGATTTTTAAGGTTTTTTTTTTTTCCTCTTTAGTTCTCAGTATTGCAGAAATAATTTTTTTCTTTTTGTATATTCAGCTTAATTTACTTTTTTGCTCGGCAGCCTATACTGAGATAAAAGTAAAAACAAAACTGTACATTGTCATTTTAACATTCTGTTTAAAGCAATTCTATGCCATACCCACCTGTCCACCTACTACACCATTTACTATGAAAGTTTCCCTCATCTCTGCATAAATTGCACAAAGCCTTGTGACGTGCGATGAGTCGCCATGTATGAGATTGCAGAGTGTTTGTCATGAATAAATACTCTTAATGTAACTTTTGACAAGAGGCTAAAATGTATGTTATTTGTATTTGGCCGTTTCTAGCTTTGCAGATTTCTGTTACAGGAACGCATTGTATGCCGGGACTGATATGTAAAATGTGTAAACATACAAAATCTCGTCATTCTTTTCAGCACCGCCGAAGCCGTTTTGCAAAAAATGGATCACATGAAGAAGATGCGACGACGTCGTATGCGAGAACTTGAGGATTTGGCTGTCTTCAATGACACAGAAGAGGTAAAAAAAATTTATTTTCTTGCTGCTTTAAATGCATATACGCAACATAGCTTCTATTTGGCCTCATCGGCATATCTATATCTGTAAGTTATGCGTAAGACTAAAAACATTTAATGTGAATGAACTGCTAGTAATGTTTCCTAATGTGTATAATGGGCTGGGGATGGAAATTGTCAAAGCAAGTTTGTTGTGCGGTGGATTGTTCCTTTTTGTCTTTCACATATTTGAGTTTTGCATATAAGAGCATACGGGGTGCCCCTAAGGGTTTTATTGGTAAGCCGTTGTATGAGGACAATAAATAAGACAATATAACAAATCGGTGAGCCAACATACTAATCTCAAATGCAATGAGTACAAAGGATAAACAAATCAAAAATGACAATCACGAAGGAGTTTGTTAAAAAACCATAACGTGGTGCAAGTGGGGGTGGGGGGACCGAAAAGTAGAATGGGACACGATTAATAAAAAAAAAAAAAAGTTGGTTACGGAATCTGGAGTGATTATAAATATCGTGATGTATTGTTCCATCACGATCAAGGAGGGGGAATTGAGGACTAGGGAGCTTTGAGTGAATCTTTAATGATCCCAAACATGGTAAACTGGAACCACTGCAAGATTTTAATTAGACATTTAGAGGTGCCTAGGTGGACCCTCCATTAGCCTGACACCCCCCTGTGAGTTCTCCGAGAATAGAGCGCTGTATTCTGTGGAAATTCCCTCCTTTTTATTCTAGCCAGTGAATAAAGTGCTATAGTCCTTTCACAATGCAAGGTAGAGTAAGGAAAACCGATCATATCATTCAATGTACGAAGATGCATCTTATTTTGTGTTACTTTGTAAATGAGTAGTGCTGCACAACCTCGAATTCCAAGTTCACCTTCCGTATATACATACTATACAGTATATTGTCCTTTTTTGATTCATAGGAAAATGTAGATATGTATTCTCGTGTCAAGAGAAAATGTCGAGTTTCCCAGCTTGACGAGGAAACCTCAGACAATCAGGAGGAAAGTGGGGGTAAGTTTTTCCTGCCTTTTTTCCTTCTGTTCCAATACTGAGAACTGTAAAAATCAATAAATGCAATCAAGTGGGTGCTGTAATAGTAACTAAAGGGACTAGAGCTGCAGCTAACGATTATTTTCAAAATCGATTAGTTAGCCGATTATTAAGTTCGATTAATCGGATAAACAATAAAATACATTTTAAAAAATGGCTCCAGTGATGGACTACTAGTTTGTATTGAGATTGTAGTCCATCAAAGGAGCAAGCTTGGAGCGGTGTAAGTTTAAAAAAAAGTGTGGTGTGCAATATAGTTAAATGGAAAGTTTAAAATTATACAGCAATCAATGTAGAATGACACCGGCTATAGAGGACTACAAATCCCAGCAATAGTACATTATACAGCGCAATGCAGAATATCACCAGCTATAGAGGGGCACAACAAATCCCAGCAATAGTACATTATAGCTGGCGGTATTCTGCATTGCGATGTATAATGCACTATTGCTGGGTGTTGTAGTCCTCTATAGATAGTGGTATTTGGCATTGCACCAATGTATAATGTATTATTGCTGGGATTTATTGTGCTCCTCTATAGCTGGTGGGATTCCGCATGGCGCTGTATAATGTATTGCTGGGATTTGTAGTCCTCTATACAGCACAATGCAGAATATCACCAACTATAGAGGAGTACAACAAATCCCAGCAATACATTATACATACAGTGTATAATGTATTGCTGGGATTTGTATTCCTATGTATAATATACAGCACGATGTCCCATCAGCTATAGAGGAATACAAATCCCAGCAATACATTATAGAGCACCATGTGTGGGGGAAAGTGCAGGCTTACCTGAGCATTCTTCCAGCAACTTGCTTCTGAGATCGGGCCTGTCTGTCGGCGGCTGTCATCCCCCCACACCTGCTCCTCCTTACTACATCTCCCCGCATCCCTGTGCCGATCGTGGATGTGGGCGGGTGGTGAGTGTGAGGCGGGAAGGAGGTGCGGCGTGTAGAGCGTGGGTGTGCGGGTCTGGCAGCGGTGAGCGTGATTTGGGGAGGAGGTGTGGAGCGCAGCGTGTGTGGAGCCATGAACAGGGCCAACTGATCGGAAGCCGATTTAATCGATTATTGAAAAAGTTGACAACTTTTTCAATCGATGATGTCGATTAGTTGTTGCAGCCCTAAAAGGGACCACTTATGTCAGATGTTTATGTTGTGTTTTGGTTTTATTCTTTTTGCGCCAAGATTCTGGTGATTGAAAGGAATAGGTGAAAAAGCAAAGAATTTAGTGCTTCTGTTGTGAAAACTTAGAAAAATTTCTCCACAGTGCCTATAGTTAGAGGCGAATGAGGGTTTGTTTTAAAGTAATTTTTTTACTGCTTGATGTGAATATTTAAATACTTAAGTGTTCTTAGGCTGCGTTCACACCTGACCGTTTTGTAGCGCGTCCTACGCTCAACGAACGCGCTACAAAACGGTCAAAAAAATAAATAGCATTGTAGTCAAATGCCCTCGTTCCCACCTAGGCGTATTTCCGCCCGTCCCGAACGCCCTACAAAACGGCCCACGCCTGAAAAGGTCCCAGAACTACTTTGGGCCGTTTTTGTAGGGCGTTTTCCATTGGGATACAGCCAAGTAGCCTTTGGAATCGCGCGACTTTTTTTACCGCGCATCGCGGTAAAAAAACCGCGTGACGGTCGCGCATATTACAATGCGCCTAGGTGTGAATGGGGCCTAAGTCTGCACATGCGTACTGTAAACAAAAAACAATGTTCATTTGCAGTAGAATAGAAGATTGTTAGATTAGTAACTCGTTAAGACTTTTGTTCTGTGTCGTTTTTTTGTTACCTTTTTAACATGCTTTCACAAAATGCTTCATCTGCTTTCATTTGTTAGATTCATCAGAGGAAGCAGAAGACCATGAGGAGGAGGAGGAGGAGGAAGATGATGATGAGGAGGAGGACGACGACGAGGAGGATGATGGAGAGGAATTTAACCAAAAACGTTATGAACTGAGACAGAGAAAAGCTGTTGTTCCCTACCAGGTGCCTCTACAAGGTGAAGATGAACATTGCCTAAAGTGTGTGTGTGTGTGTCCTATGTTTAGCAAGATCCCAGAAATAGGAAAGGGCTGGTGCTTTCATATAAACATGGAACATCAACCGTATTTCCAAAGCTTTTCATCAAGGACTATCACACAATGTGTGGAGGAGGTCCATTTGGTGAAGAGTGGAGCTCCTTTTTCTTATTGGAAGCACATGCTTGACAACTGCTAGAATAGTTTTCCTGACTGTAGCAGAGTATGAAGATAATTTATATTGCTGCCAGTTGTTTCACCTGGTGAACAGAGCCTCTGACTGGTTCCTGTGAGCCATGCAATACGTTGTTGGAGCACTGAAGTCTCTGTAGAAATAATTTGAAAAGTGATCATCACGGAGTTCCCACATGTATCCTGCAGCAAGGTCTCAAGGAACACTTCTGGTTTAATGCTCCCTCAAGCTGGACCAAGCAAAGTTTTGTTAAACCATTTTCAAATTTTGTTTTGTATGCCAGTGTGAGCTTTGAAGGGAGATTGTAAGGTTTATCATGTTACTTGGCCCTGTGTTTTTTAATGTCCTTGAGTGGTGGTTTGGTCAGGATGGTTTTGTAGATCATGGTAGAGCAAAATACATTGTATAAAATTCCCTCTTTTTGCAATGTCATGGATGCTTGACAATATAGTGTTCAATTTCTGCAGGGTGGCACATCTGAGGGTGCAAAAGAATTTAGAGGATCCACTAGGTACTGTAACGTGCAAGCATCTGAATAGGGATGTGTTGTGCTATAGTTGAAGCTAGAGCTGCAGCTAACGATTATTTTCATAATCGATTAGTTAGCCGATTATTACGTTCGATTAATCGGATTAAAAAAAAAAAGTCTCCAGTGATGGACTACTAGTTTGTATTGAGATTGTAGTCCATCACGGGAGCAAGCTTGGAGCGGTGGAAGTAAAAAAAAAAAAAGTGTGGTGTGCAATATAGTACATTATAAAGCGGCACAGTGCAGAATACCAGCAGCTATAGCGGAATGCAGCAAATCGCAGCAATAGTACATTATACTATAATGTATTATTGCTGGGATCTGATGTATTCCTCTATAGCTGGCGTTATTGGAGAGAACGGATATGATGCAGGAATAGGGAGGACGGGTATGATGGTGGAATGGGGTGCAGAGGACGGGTATGATGGTGGAATGGGGTGCAGGGAAGGAGAGGACGGGTATGATGGTGGAATGGGGTGCAGGGAAGGAGAGGACGGGTATGATGGTGGAATGGGGTGCAGGGATGGAGAGGACGGGTATGATGGTGGAATGGGGTGCAGGGATGGAGAGGACGGGTATGATGGTGGAATGGGGTGCAGGGATGGAGAGGACGGGTATGATGGTGGAATGGGGTGCAGGGATGGAGAGGACGGGTATGATGGTGGAATGGGGTGCAGGGATGGAGAGGACGGGTATGATGGTGGAATGGGGTGCAGGGATGGAGAGGACGGGTATGATGGTGGAATGGGGTGCAGGGATGGAGAGGACGGGTATGATGGTGGAATGGGGTGCAGGGATGGAGAGGACGGGTATGATGGTGGAATGGGGTGCAGGGATGGAGAGGACGGGTATGATGGTGGAATGGGGTGCAGGGATGGAGAGGACGGGTATGATGGTGGAATGGGGTGCAGGGATGGAGAGGACGGGTATGATGGTGGAATGGAGTGCAGGGATGGAGAGGACAGGTATAATGATGGGATGGAGAGGATGGGTATGATGGTGGGTTGGGGTGCGGAGGACGGGTATGATGGTGGGTTGGGGTGCAGAGGACGGGTATGATGGTGGTTTGGAGTGCACAGTGTTTTGGGCCTCAGTCATGAAGGGGTTAATCGACTAAATCGATTAACTGTTGCAGCTCTAGTTGAAGCACTGTGCTAAGCAAAACGGTAAAGTACAGACCTATGTAGGTGATGCTGAAATTGCCTCTTCTCTTAAAAGGCCCTGGGACAGATTTTTTAGGACTAATTCATCTGCCAAGTTCTGTAGCTTTATGCATTCGTACAGTTAAAATTCAGATTTATTTGTCTGTTTTGCAATGCAGCTCTAAAGCATTGACACGTAGGGTTATGCTGCTGCCACTAGGGGAAATAGACACTAGGCAAAACAATTAAAAGCTGATACTTTAAAGACATGACACCTCCCACCTGCCAGTTTCACTTGGTGTCCTTAGGAGAATGGATGTCTCCTTTTCTGCTTTAATATTTTGGTTTTTGTTTCCTCTGAAGTTCAACTACCAGGAGTTGCTGGTTGATTCATACCGGATAAAATTAAATCCTGGGAGTTTCATTAGCTAGCCAACTAGACCTAGAGATTCATTCCAGTTATGTTGAATCCTGGAAGTTTCTCTGGTCCTCAGGGTGGGAATTTCCTGGTCTCTGTACATATGCTTCGTCCTGCGATAGTCCAGAGTTATTACTCGGTCAGGCCAGTATTACCTGGGGATTGCTGCAATGACGAAGCGAACTGGGCCATGGATTTGTATATTCAGACATGTGACGCTGGAACACAGTACCGAAGGGGAGGAAGATGAAAATATATTCTAAAATTTGCGTCTATTCCTTTTGCATTGCGGTTCCACCAACCAGTGCTTAAACCAGATAGCTCTGCGTATCTGAAAGGAGGAGACAGGCACGCGAGACAACAAGCATCAATAAACGCATGAAATGAGAAGCAACAGTCCTCTGATCCACACAATTGATAAATGGTGGATCAACTCCAGCAGTCACCTGTTCTGTACTCGATTTTGTCCAGGTAGGCAGTGTCTGGGAAAGAAGGACCATAGCCAATAATTGTTGAGCTGAAGAGCCGAACCAGTTAATAAAAATAGAAGATTCTTTCTCATACCTTTTTTATTTGTTGTCAGTAGAACCCTTAATGTGATATTGAAGTCAAAATTAAATAACTTACAATGGACGCTGTGCCTTAATGATTTAAGTTTTTAAGTTTCCTGCAGAATCAGCTGGTCCCCCTGAGCACTAGCCCTGATATCCTGTTTTAGGGTGGCTCCTTTCCCTCCACAAACTTACAGGTCCAGTAAGGCAAGCCATTTCCCCAACCTGCTCCCCTCTCCAGGCTAGTAGATCTGTCCTTTTGTGATCTTGTATGAGACAGGAAGTCTGGAGAAGCCGAGCTGGAGCTGTTAAAAAACATGACATGAAGTGCTTGGACAAAAATGTAAAGAAATACTTTGCTGTGCAATTTTTATATTTGTTTGATCTGGATTCATTAGTGAAAAAAAAGTTTAGGAGTTTAATATTTAACAAAGGCGCGCCATCAAACTGAGTAGTCAACAACTTGATGAGATGAGAAATTGGAAGAATAGACTTCCTTTTATTTCCTTAACAAAATCATCTGGTAAAGGATGCAGAGACTTCAAGCATTTAGGGGCCGGAAATTGCTTATCCAGAATTTCCCACTCTTATAGAAAAATGTTGTTCAGCTTTTCAGCCTGCTATTTCTAGTGGATGTGTCAGGTTGTCATTCAAGTTTACGTTGTGGGATTCCTCCTTTTCCCTGTTTGCTGCTAATTCTACTAGGACAGTTGGTACTTCTTGGGCATTTCAGAACAAGCTTCTGTTACTCAGATTGCAAGGCCACATTTTGGTCTTCTGTTGATAATTTTGCGAAGTTTTACAAAGTTGTCGTTTCTGCCTCCTCCTGATAAGTTTTGTCAGAAACGTTCTTCAGGTGGCTGTTTGGAAGTATCAGAATGCTTCATAGCTGTGTCCCCCAAGTGCCGGTAGAGAGAATAGGATTTTGTTCTTACTGTAAAATTCTTTTACCAGAGTCCTTTGAGGGACAACACTTCCTCCCCTCATTTGCTTGCATACTGCTTGCTATGGGTGGGAGGGGTTGTGACGTTAAAGTGACATTAAACCCTCAGATTTTTTTTAACATATAAACCAATACTGTAAATGTGCGCCTTACTGTAATCCATGGTAGTTTCCCTTCTCTTTGCTGCTCTTCCTTTTTAAATCCATATCTCTTCTCATGCTGGGGGAGAACTTCCCTTTGAAGGCTGTGAAAGTAGCAGGCTTTAATTTTTTTATCCTGGAGGCAGCAGCATAACCTTCTAGAGGCAGCAGCATAACGTATGTGTCGGAATTCTAAAATTCTTTAGAGCCGTGTCCCTCAATGGACTCTGAGAAAATGATTTTAAAATGAGAACAAAATCCTATTTTTCCTGCAGATTTTTCAAATGATGAGCTACATGAGATCTACCAACAAAAAAAAACTCCCTGGCTTGCTCTCCTGGCTGTCATTCCTCATTTTCTCTCCTGGCTGTCTCTCTTGGCTGGCGCTCCTTGCTCTCTCCCCTGTCTGCCTCTCCTTGCTCTCTCTTTCCTGCCTGTCTCTCCTCTCTCTCGTGGCTCACCTTGCTGTATTTTGTAAACAGTGCAGTGCAACAGGCTGTGTAAACTAATATTCTTTGATGTAATACATAGCACTTCAACCTCCAGTATCCACCAGAAAGGTGTCAGGGAACTTGGCTCAGCAGCCTCGGGCTAATAGGTAATCATGTGTGCACAGCTAAATAAATATACCAAAATGGAGTAAAGGGGCCGCCATTCACACCCTTCGTGATCTACCAGCATCAGCTTTGAGAGCTACTGGTAGATCACAATCTACCTAATGGGCACCCCTGTTTTTAGAGGGGTTTTTTGATGCAGTTTTTTTGCGCGCTGCAAATTTTATTTGGGCCCATTACAGTTGTCAGAGTAATAATGTTTCACAGTGATACTGGCTATGGATTAAGCTGTGTACTACTCCACCCACAAAGTTAACTTCACAAACAAATTGTGCATGCAGTTTTAGTTTGATCTTTTGGGGAGGTTTGATAGAGCTTTCTTCACTGCATGGTGAGAAGGGACTGAGCACAAATCAACAATGAGAATCATTAACAACAATTCTCATCGACAAAATTGATTAGCAGTTCCAGCCCAAAATTAAAGTTGGTCACAAGGAAGCCTGCTGCTGCTGTGTTCTCACATCAGCTAAACTATAGTGCTCTGATAATTCTTCCGTCCTTTAGTTTGTTTTTAAAGACCGGATCAAAATTTAAAACCTCCATTAGAAAAAATTATAAACTTTAAATCTTCTCCCTAAACCATAATTCCCTTTTATGTATAGCCAAAAATACTTAACAGATATTCTTGCTCTTCTCTACTTTTTCCAAAACAAAATTTTGGATTTGAGTTGTATAAAACACCTTACGCTCACATTCTGCAGTCTAAAGTTCTTGAGCCAGCTAAAGCCATGGAACTTTTAAAATCTGTGCAAAGTTCCCTTAGCAGGAGACTCCACACTGCTGATCTGACTGATGAGAGGGGATTCAGTGCCATGTTACCAATAAAATCTATATACAAATTGCTAACTTTTCATTTTAGGAGAAGACACGCTGTGCATAGCAATGACTCCACATCATCCTCCTCCTCCTCTTCAGATGATGAGGAACATTTTGAGAGGCGCCTGGTTCGAAGCCGTAACAAGGCTATTAGCAGGTAGGTTTTTTTTTTTGGGGGGGGGTTTTTTATAGGACTAAATATCCAAAAACTACTAGTTACCTTCGCACACAAACCTATTTCAGTGGTCTTGGATAAGTTAACTCTTCCATGATCGCAGTCTGTTGTAACTCTTGGCGTGCATATCGCCATGTTCTACTTCTGGGAGCTGCTGGTCTACAGTAACTATTGGGAACCACCTGGTGTGTTTCCTGATCATGTGATCGCCATGGCAGTTGGTATGTCACATAAAACTGAGAAAATAAAAGGGATATATGGTGTACCAAATGCTGTATATGTCCTTTTCAACATGTTTGTTAGAAGGTAAATTAGTCGGCATTAATGTCACTTTAACTGGTTAATACAGATGGTACTGAGTGTAATTTGGGCATTAACTTGTCTGATCAGGAAAAGGTTAAAGATGCAATTCCCCATGCTGTGCAAAACATACATTTTGGCTGCCAGGAAATCTCAGAGGAAAATAAGCAGACAGTCAATTTTAGTCCATTGGTGTCTACACAATGTGGACATTTCAGTTTTTGGAGTGGTCCTTTTTATAAATGGCCTATATGCTTGTGATGGTGTTCACCTGCCTTACATTTTGCAAACCTTCTCAGGTCATGGAATTTTTTTTTTAGAAACGGTATTGTATAACCTGAATTAATTCCCCCCCCCCCTTTTTTAATAAAGGTGTCTTCCTATGAACATTCAGAGAGACGATTTAAAAGGACTTCACAAAGATCGCATGAAAATTGGTGCCAGCCTAGCAGATGTTGACCCAATGCAGATTGATACCTCTGTGAGTTTCATGACATTGTTTTAGGAAATTGTAATTATTTCATGTCAGTGGGTCAAAGTATTGAAGCCTAAGAATTGTCATTACAGCCAGGCATATATCATTCACTGAGGACTGGCAGCCCCTACTATATTTTGCTTGTTGTGTGATTTTTTTTTTTTTGTTTTTTTTTTTGTTTTTGTTTTTGTTTTGTTCGGCTGTGTGTGCTGCAGTAACTCTAAGGCCCCTTCTTCATGGGCTGATCACAGCAGTATGGAGTGGATGTCACCGCTGTGACATCTGTAATATGTACAGTTTTTTTTCCTCCAGAAAAAAACTGCCTTTACCGCACCCCATGCCAGTCTATGGGGAAGCTGTTGTGGACGGACATGTCCATTTTCATAAAATTACATCCGATCCGTCTAAACGACACTGTTTTTGTTTGTTTGTTTTTTGGACCTGGCGGAGGTAACTGGGTGTAAACTGACTTGTCCGTTTAGACACAGCTGCCCATAGACTTGCATTGGGCATCCGATCGGGTCCACCTGAAAACCTGACAGGTGGGCCCAATCCTAAATCTTCGCACTGGTCTAGTGCCGTCATGGGTCTTTATCTTCTTGCCCAGTGTGGGTGGTCCTTACTGAACAGTACTTGCATAATGATGCATGAATGCTATTCAGCATAGAAGTATTTTGAGCCCAGCTATCATGAGGAAACCACTGTACGAGTGTTTCCACGACCGCCTGGGCTCGCAGGAAGGGTCTTTGAGCCATTACTCCTAGTAAGATTGTTAAATATATGAAAAATGTAATTGCCAAATGCCATGATTGCTTAAAACTTGTATATCAGCAATTTTTTCCCCCTGTTTTCCATAGGTACGATTTACTAGCGTTGGAGGTCTCTCTAAACACATAGCCTCTTTAAAGGAGATGGTGGTTTTCCCGTTGCTTTACCCTGAAGTTTTTGAAAAGTTTAAGATTCAGCCTCCACGGTAGGTTAACTT